GTTTTCATAGTGTAACGTATTAGCCAGCGTGCCTCATGGCATCTATTTGGGGACGCTTGGTTGCGGATTAGTCTCGCCACAGGAAGAAGGGTTTTTTCGTAAAGGGAAGAACGCGGAGACGGGAGACACAAGGCTTTGGGTGTCTTCCGGCTTATAGAAGCTTTTCACTGTTATAACAAGCGAGGGGGTGGCGTGACGTAGTAGGTCACGTGGGCCTCGCCTATATAACTGAGTGTACAGAGCCAGTAGGTAGGTTCTGGAGACGGTGGGAGAACCTCGTGCGTGTGCACAAAACTTGGCGCCAAGACGGTGCATATGCGAGCCAGGCTCGCGAGGCTGGAGTCATTAGTTGACGAAGCCTGCGGACTTTAGGTCCTTGGGTGACTGCGGTCACGGGGAGCGATGCTGTGTGCGTGCTCCGAGGTGAAGAGTGGTTGAGTGCCACGATTCACGCCGATTCTCAATCGGATAAGATCGCTCCTGCGATCGAGGCAAACCAGCCGTTGGTGCGCCAGAACGGACTTTGTGTCCCAGCGTGACATCCGGTCACGGAAGCTAGGCTTTGTGCGCGCTTCAAAAGTAGGAGTGGCGAATGCCACAATCAAAACCATCTTCAATCGGGTTTTGGATCGCTCCCGCGATCAGGGGATAGTAGGTCTATCAGAGCTAGGGTGTAAGTAGATTATTAAGTGTATATATTTGTTTTGTTTCTTTGTTAATAAATATATTGTTATACTAAAGCTCTGTGTCTGTGGTCGCTGTGAGTATCCATGACGTCACAATAGATACAAATTCTTCTTTTTTCACTTTTTTAAAGCTTTTGGTTTCATCTCAATTGGAAAACCTTTTCTAATGACAGTTCCAGTCAAATGAACACCCAAACGTAGCAATTGTGGACTGGTGTAATACCTGTCTGTTAAGACATGCGCCCCTCTTCCTCCTCCGAGAGAATTCAGATATTTCGATACCAGGTGCACAACTATTCTGCTCGAGAATGGTAAGTCAGGCCTCGCCATATTCATACACGCGTGTGCTCCAAAATACGGCTCTAGGGAGTATACATATCCATTTTTGGCATCAAACAGAACAAAACCTATGATACCCCACTTTGTGGGTTTGTCTTTATTGTAAGTTTTGAATGAAACTCTGCCTTTGAATCCTATAGTACTTTCGTCCACAGAGATTTGTTTGATAGGCGTGTAGTATCTTTGAATTTTTTCTTCTAAATTATTCATAATCTTCAACTTTTGTAAATTACTCGAACTGGCATTATCAGTGAGCGTGCCTTTCTCTGGCACGTTAACATGCAGATTCCAATATAATTGCAAAAATCGCTCTCTGCTGAAAACATCGCTGAAGAATGGCTGATGATCCAGCCAATTCGTACTAAAATAATCTTGCAGTTTCATTTTTTCATTTAAAGCCATGTTCAGTAAAACACCCCAAAATTCTTTGAATTCTTCATTGGTGACGTGATACCACGATGACCAAATACTGCGTTTGGTAAATGGCGTGTTTTTCTTTACCTTTTCGTCTCCGTATCTATTAGTTTCTTTCGCAATGCCTTCAGTCAGGTCATTAGAAAAAAATATTCAAAAAAATCTAGTGGAGTTTTAAGTTTATTACCTCTTGGGGGCTGATACCCAGGTTTTAAAAGAAATGGAATTTCATTAAACCCGGTGTCTTCTTGACAAGCAATCCACGTGTCATCACTGTGTAATGTTGCTGCTGTCGTCTTCCGCGTTTACATCAGAGTCCACAAAATCTGAAGAATTTTCTTCCGCTTCAATACAAATAAATTCTTCATCAGAATCACTTATTATATCACATTTACTAAGTTATTGTAGACGTTTCTGTACATCTAAGTCTTCCAAATTATCCATTGTGTTGTCGCTTCTTAACTCTTCCACACTGTAGAAACACTCTCTTAAAAACGACAAGAATGAGTGTGGAAAAACTTCTTCGGACAGATAGCGTCCGTAAGTATTTCAATAGATCAACTATTTTCGATTCACGAAGCTGTCTCATTGTTAAATGGTGATATCTCGAAATATGAACGAAAAGTAGCTGTCATCTCCGAGATGCCCTCAGATTGAATCAAGGAATTGACGCTGTTATCTGAGAGATGCCCTCCGACCTGTAGGACGAGCCACCGTCCTGAGATCTCCGACCTAAGCGCCATCGACGCCATGTCATCATATAGATGCCTTTCGACATGAAGGACTTTTAGCTTATGGAAGCTTCCGACCACAAATGGTTAATTCAACAACAGACAGCACAATGGATGCGACACAATTTTCTGAATTTATTAAATTTCAACAGCAAATGCTCGAGAAAATATTAGGAAAAAACACTGATAAATCAGTGAGAACCAATCAAGGAATATCGGTAAATACTGCTCTTTTGCCAATTTTTTAAGATTTCGATCCAACAAGAGAATCGTTTCGAAATTATAAATCTCGTTTCGAAAATTATTTAGAAATGAAGAATGTAATAAATTACAAACGTTACTGTACAACGTTACTTTTAAATTCTATCAGTGCAAAATATTTCAACATGATATCAGCATTGTCAGCACCAAAAATGCCAAAAAAACAAATATACGATGTATTAATCAAACTTTTAGAAAAACAATTATCACCAGAAAAGAACGTTATTTTGGCACAGCATTAATTTTAATAAAATATCAATTTGATGATCAATCTATTGCAGAATTCGTCACAAACTTGAGAGCGGACATCGGAGATTGTCATTTTATTTCAGAATGTTCATGCGAAACTTCCGTTGCAGACATTTGGCATTTCGCATCGAGCATTTGGGCATTTCCTCGAGGAATAAAGGACAACTCCATCAGGAAACTACAATCGGAAACGAAAAGTTTTGAAGATATTGTTACTAAAGTAATAACCCTTGAAGCTTCAAATATCAACTCAAAGGAGCTCTGCATCGACATCAACAGCTAATATCAACAAAGTCAAAATTTCGAAGAAAATAACCACACAAAACATGAACATGACCGACATCGATGCAGCCAATTGCGCAATCGATCAAGTTCGAGGAAACGGGAATCAAGAATTGACTACGCTAAATTGGGCATCGATGGACTATGAGTGAGGTGCGGAAAGATAATGAACTTGTAATAGACTGTCGCAATAATAAATCAACTCACAAATGTTCTGAGTGCAAGAAAACCGATCATATTTCGAGGTATGTATCCGATCCTTAATCGATCCGATCGAAAATCAAAACAAACTCATTCTGTTCAGGAAGAACCGGCGAATTCAATTCAACTGGATACGATACCCAAAGAGTATGGATCATTACAAATTGTCGACATCTACAGAAATCGACCCCCAAACGATAATTTGAAACGCTATTACGCCCAGGTTAAAGTTGAAGAAAAATTAATTAAATTCGAAGTTGATTCAGGTGGCGGTTACACGATGTTGCCTCGATACAAGTTCGCCGATTACAAATTCATTGTAACACTTGAGCCAACACTGCAATTCCGATCGTACATGCATGATATCTTCGTTCCAGATGGTAAAATTAACGTCGAATTAAACACGAAAACCATCCAATATGAAATGTACATTGTTCCAGAAGAATACGACGCTCTTTTAGGCCGAGTTTGGATCAGGAAATTAAACATTAATTTACAAGAAATAGAAAAAGAACTTTAAAAGAAATAGAAATTCGTAGAATTTTCAAATGAACAACAGAATGTGAGACAAATAGACAACAGCTTTTATTCACTTCAAACGGGAAATCATAAGCGATCGCGTAGTCATGCCATTTAATCCCGAATTGCAAGTTCGACTTTCTTGTGATGCAAGTTCCACAGGTATTGAAACAGTCTTATCACACATGATCAATAATCAGGAAAAGCCAATAGCTTTTGCTTCTCGATCACTTACCCCAGCAGAACAAAATTATTCTCAACTGGATTAAGAAGCTCTAGCAATTTTTTTTGTAACTGACATTTTTTCATATTTATTCGGACGTCAATTTCAACTTGTCACAGACAATCAATTTCTATCTAGGGTTTTCCATCAAAATCGGATGACTTCAGCCCGTCTACAACGTTACGTAGTTTTTCTATCAGGATTCGATTATGAAGTTGTATTTAGAAGATCTGAGAATACCAATGCTGACTGTTTATCGCGGATATCACTGAATGAATAACTTAAATCACACACAGAAACAGCTATCAACGAAGAAGTCCATTTTCTACATGAATTAACACTTCGAAAATCTCATTCGAATCAATTCAGGAAGAGAACAAAGCTGATCAACTTTCTGGCATTCTCCGAGGACTCCAACAACTGATGTAGAATTTACCATGGACAATGGCATATTTTTAGAGGTCAACGCGTCGTGGTACCATCAAAACTACAAGCTGCTGTTTTGGAGGACCTTCATCGAACTCATATCGGAATTTCAAAAATGTAACAACTCGCAACCCGGAATGTATACTAGAAGAACATAGACAAGGATATCTAACATTTCGTTCGAGCACATTCTGAATGTGCAAAAGCGAAAAACAGTCCAGCAAAAGCTCCTCTACACCCATGGCAAGAACCAGAAGAAAATTGGCAATGTAATCACATCGATTATGCAGGACCATATCGAGGACATAATTGTTTAGTTGCCATGGCGTTATAAGCCTTTATGAGCATGGGAGAACCGTCATGACAAAATCATGTGGACACGCATTGGCATCATCTTATCATATTCATTGGTGCACAGTGGTACCATCTCTCGGAGCTGAGCCTTGACTATTATAAACTTTAAGCTAGTTGGTTTTCCTACCAGACGCAACATGTACAGTTTAATTTTAGTTCAAATAAAACCATGAAACGAATCGGATGGTGCAATGTTTTTCTATACCTTTAGCAATCATATAACTATCAAGGATACAAAAAAGGAAACAAAGGAAAAGGAGGGTTCCGCAAATACTTTACTAACCGAAAAAAGGATTTTATTAAAGATATAATACTTGCCACCCCTTCATATGGGTATGATGCTTCAGTATCAATTCCTCCATTGTCTCTAATATACTGGAAAGCGAAGTCTATCGCTCCTCCATGACAACCATAATTTCCATACCTTTCTGAGCAATCAATCAAATTCTGTTCACTGAGGGAAGTAAGAACACCTGTTTTTCGGTAGTGTTGTCCTTCAAGAGACCCAGTCTGAAAATCAAAATTATGTTTTATGGCATAATGAAACTAATCATTTTTATATTACAGTTCTTGTTTTTACTTACAGCACTAAAAGCCCAACACGAGGCACAATAGCCCTGATTTTTCACTTCAGTCACAGCCCCTAGATCTCGCCAATCAACTTTATCAGGCAATTCAACATTTGCTGGGCTAATAAATTTTGCTCCAAGAGTCTTGTGGAGATCATAATTCTTCTTATTCTTTGTTCGATTGAATCCATTCATCATGTCGGCAAATTCATAATGAAGCTACAAAAGAAAAAAAGGCAATTTATGAAATATCATTAAAATTTAAGAATTTTTATATTTTCAATTTTGACATTTTCAGGTAAAATTGAGAAAATATACGTAAACCTTCTCTAAATATTACCATAGAACATAAACACATGTGGAATATTTACCATGTCTCCATATTCATTTAAGCCCAACTTGAAACTAACTTCCCCCTTCTCAAATCTTGCATTGTGCTTTGCAATCTTTTCACGATTTTCCATGAACATTTTCAGTCGGAATTTTTCTTCCGTACTGCTATCATACTTCTTTTTATATTTGACCTGCAAAATGATTTTTTGTCGTATTAATCCTAACACGAACAACAATGGAATTACGAAGAAAAAAGATATCCAGAGAGTTTACGAGCTAGAAACAAATATAATTTATCGAACCTTAAATGTATTCCATTCTTCAATAACTAAATCGAGAAATGAAACAGCTTGGCTAGCACAAACCAATGCTAAAAGAAAAATAATACTCCTCTTGCTCATTTTCTAAAGTGCTGTTTCCCTGGAACAAAGAAAACGACACTAGATATGATTTCCGAAACCACCAAGAAAACACATAATAACCATCCGGAGATCGAGAGTAGCAAATGAAAGGCTCTAAATGTTGTGCCAACTAGTTACCTTTTTAAAGCACAAAAACAAAGCAGATGTACCAGAAACAAATCACATCTCCGCTGTACACACATACAACTCTCATGAACAGGGATCTTCGAACCTGGACGCCACAAACAACGTTGAGCCTTTATACCATAAACTGACGTGTTGACTTTGACTCGTCAGACTTTTGAATGAACTGGCCCAGGCACGGCAAGCTCTCCAGCAGACCGGGATGAAGCTCGAGTTGGCTACTATAGGAACGCTATGTCGCGGGTTGCAGGCTGCAGTTAGGCTCGTCCAACATTCCACGTACAAATTGGCTAATTTGTGAGAAATGCGAAAAATGTCTTTTTAAATGTGCAATTATTCATAATCTGATACGTATAAAAAACCATTGAAGAAAGCAGCGAACATAGACGTTTATCGTTTGTAACATTATGGGCCTGCTTGCGAGAGGCCGAACTCACGCAGCTGCACGTACATTATTAAAGTATCGTTGCCAGCAAAACGTTGTTTTAGTTCCTGTAAGAAGGGGTTTGCAGCATTGTGCGGACACCGTTACTGGTCTCCATCAATTTATATGGGAGTTATAGGGCCCTGAGCTGGCCTCTACGGTAGAATCGCCCTCACGTGACGCTGAAGCTTATATGTTTACCAGACGTACACGAGCACACAAAAGCTACAGAGGGGATGGGGCATCCTGGGTCGTTGTTAGATGGATTCCAGTCATTAGGTGCCGTAAGCGTAATAGTGTGAACTATTAATTTAATTTGCGCGAAACTTTCCACAGCAAAAATATTGTATGGTTAAGCTTACACGAATAAATTCGTATCGCATAGGAGCTGAGTGTAGCCTAGCGACATTATTACATAATCTGTAATAGTCACATTCGACCAAAACATTTTGAAATTTTCCCTCGTGAAAATTCCATTTCTTGATTCCCCTTTTATTCGAATTGCAACTAATGATATAACAGTTACTAGCAATATAATATGTTATAGTAAGGAGAAAAGGTAGGTCTTCAGGGCTCAGGAAACGTCCGCCGCTAATAAGACTAACATCTACTTTGCCCCATTATACTCCAGCCCTTTTTTTAATAATAATATTTATTTTGCAATTTGTTTTGGGTATTAAACACTTGGCAAAAAATTACATTACCACTTTGAATAAACATGAAAGGACTAAGGTCCATTGACCGTACTCCCTTATTACATTTTTTCAGATTAACACGCAATGAATATATTTGATAACTAAAACTAAACGAAACATACAAAAAAAAAGTATACAATGATAAGGGTTATATAATAATAAAACCGAAATAATTATAACAATGTATGTCATATGTTAGGTCTAAAGCATGATAGATAATCGTAAGTCGATCTGGTTGGTGTTTTATTGTTCTAGTAAGTTAATGGCAAGAAATATTTTGATGGTTATGTAGTCGTTGTCAGTATTTTGCGCTGTCTTGTTAATTTCTTTTTTATTGTCATTGTACAGTTCTGGTGTATTGTGGACGTGTAACGTTACCAAGGAGCATTTACAAACTTTCTTTAAGCTTTGATTGGAACGTTGTAGTATTTCAATATTTGGAATTGAGCTGTTCCCCAAAGTTGTATTCCATGATGTCCAGACTTTTTTTAGTAATGCTTTATACAGAAGAATTTTGTTTGCGATGCGTTTTTTTCCTTAGATAGAACGTCAATACTGATATATTGAGTCTAATTCTTTTTCTTGTTATTTCTTTATAATGTGTTTATCTATGTAAGTCTTTTGTCCAGTTGTAATTCCAAGATAATTTGCTGACTCGTTTTGAGGAAGAGGTTGTGATCCGATTTTTATAGGAGGGCATGTGTCGTGCTTTCAGGCTGAAGGTAAAACTAGGGCAGGACTTCTTTTGTCATTTGTCTTAAGGCGTTAGTATGGCAGATGTTTTCTATGAGACGTGATGCTTCGGGCGAAGGATCTTTTATTGTCGAGCTAAGAAGGATGTGTCGTGCCACGTTTAGGTTGCTGTCAATTGCGTTTCAATGTGATTGTTCGGTAGTTGTATTATGAGAATTTCACGTCACAATTCAAGGAAAGTGCAAGCACACTATCTTGAAGCCACTCCCGAATTGAAATGGAGAGGTCGAAGTTACACCTTAAATTTTATTTGAAAATATCTCTCCGTGAGCGTACGATATTAATAGGAGATAGGTTAAAGATATGTCAGTTTTGCCTTAATTTTATACAATTAAACTGGGTGCCAGACTTATCCGAAGCCTAGCTTGTGTCGAGAAGCACAGCAAAGAGTATTATTCTTTACTTTCTAGCGATTCACTAATTTCGTTACTTTTTCGATGGATTTGTTTCTATAGTCGAATGCCTTTGTCTGAACCAAATTGATGATTTCTTTTCGTGTAGAAGCGGGATTCAAACGTGACAAATAGTAGTTTCTCAAAAACTTTGATAGTGTTGATAGGAGACAATAGGTTCTGTATGATACATAATACTTCATGCATTGTTTGCCGGGTTTAGGAATGACAATTACTTGGGGCTATTTCCATTGCTCGGAAGTTCCTAATCTTAAGGAATGCATTGAAAATGGAAGTTAATGTAAGCTATCAATTTTCTGGGTAGATGCGTTAGAATGGTATACAGAAAACTTATCGTTCCGGGAGCTTTCTTGTTTGGTAAAATTTGATAATGTTTCATATTCTCGAGAACTAAACGGGCATGAATTTTTGAGGAGCAGTTTGCAACGGGGTGATCTAGGGAAGTGTAAATTTCTTCCTCTTCTGCTGCAGATATTTGTGGAAGAAATGGTTGAAAGGACGTTAGAGGGAAAGGGAAGCAAAGCATTCAGTTTCTCATCGTCGCTTTTAGCCATGGTACCATCAGTTTTTTGATCGGAAGGAATAGGTTTATCGTCTCTTCAAGCATTTGGTGGTTTTCCAAAGAGAGTACTCTGAATTTGGAATCAATCTTATACGTTTATCTTGTAGAACGTTGTTACGATGATCTCGAAGTAATCTTTTGAGGATTTGTGAAGCAAAATTTAGTCTTCTTGTAGTTAATGGATCTTTAGTGATTTGCCATTGCTTTTTAATTTGCGTTTTGCTACCACCATTTCAATTATTAATTGTGGGATATTTGCTTTTTATATTGCTTAATTTCTGGTGTAAAATACCATGCAGCTTGATGAAGTTGTCTTGTTACATATTTTATTGCTTCATTTACATCGAGAGCACTTTTCAATGGTAGATTAGCGGTGCTGTTATTAATTAGCCATTTTGAGAAGTATTTCCAATCTGTTTTATTGTTATGAATTGAGCTTTGCTTGTTGTCTTCAATAATGAATGAGCTGCTGAGTAGTAGAACTGCTGAATGGTCAGATGATAGATCTTCTGACTACTAGTTGCGAATGTAACTTTGGTGTACTCCCTTTACAATAAAGAAATCTAAAACATCAGGAATTTTGTTAATGTCAGACGGCCCATAAGTGGGTGGTCCGAAGTAAGTGGATAATCTTTCGTTTATTGTAGATTCACAGAGCGATTTCCCATTTGGAGATGTTAGTCTGGAGCCTCACAAAGGATGCTTAGAATTGTAGTCACCGCCAGAAATAAATCTTGGTCCAAGTTTTTTGAAGAAACTTGTGAACTGTGAATTCTGAATATTATGTTATACTCCAGCCTGACGAATAATTTGTCCTCTATTAACTAGTGGTGCTGCAATACGACATACTTTTTGGCAATATTACAATGTTATCGTTATGTACGGCGGGACACCCATAATGCGACATTAATTTCGAACAGAAATATCGCAAAAACTTACTAACTTTTACAAAAAAATTGTTCATGACCTTTTTTTAAAGAGATAACTGTATACATAACATATATTTTGCGCATTATACTCCAGCCTGACGAATAATTCTTCCCCTATTAACTAGTGGTTCTACAACACAACAGACTTTGTGGCAATATTACAATGTTGTCGTTATGTACGACGGGACGCCCATAATGCGACATTGATTTCGAACCGAAATTAGGCAAAAACGTATAAACTTTTACAAAAAAAATGTTCATGGCCTATTTTTAAAGAGGTAACTGTGTGCAACAGATTGAGACACAAATCTCCGTCTTCAATTTTGTAGTTTTGAATTTTTGTTGTAATTTTCGGAAAAACGAGCAATACCCAAAAATGGAATTAACATCATATTTTTTACCACCTTACGAGTATTACCTTTGTAGGGAAAAATTTAAAGAAAAAAATTGGAGCTGTTTTTGAGAAAATAAAGTCGTAAATTTAAAGCGCGTATTATGCTGAAACTACTCGTTTTATTTTAAAAAAATGTATATTACCCATTTTATTGAGCTAATTTTGTACCACAGGCTTTGAATGACGCACAAACAGTCTGTTGTGTATTATTTCATAAGCAGAACCATGGGTAATGTGCATATGGTTTGCCACGTCAACAGTAACTTGTCTGTTATTGAGTATCAATGCACGCACTTGTTCAATAATGTTGACATTTACGGCTGCTGGCTCTTTCCTCATCCTTCACGGTCGTTCGAACACTTTTGAACTGTTGAATCCACTGGTAGACACTTCGCTGCGGCAATACATGGTTCCGATATTGTGCAGTAAGTCTTCTATGAATTTCCACTCCTGGAACCTTCAGACCAAAAAAAACGGAATACGGAACGCATTTCTTCTTTGGTGCAAACAGAAAGTGGCGTGACAATCTTTACGCCGCAACAGCGCCAGGTAGACTGATCTGATAACGCTGAAACTTACCACAGACAAACGAGTTAGAGATACAGTGTATCTCAAACTCGTTGCCACAGACAAAGACAACGGTGCCACCTGGTGGCTGATAAACATACTAACCCATAGAGCCAACCTAAGGAAAATTAGACAAAATTTCTGATACTTATTGACTTATTACTCGCCCAACTTTCCTTCAACAATGGATTGAAGAAGTGCTGGTAGAGTGGGGGTATTAGTTTCGTAATCAGCCTCTAGATTTTATGAAGCAATGCTTATCTCTGGAGAATCAGTCATGCCTTCGTAACTTTCTCGATAATTTGCGTTCTAACTTTCTCAGGAGTTCGAGGTATCTCCTGTGATGTATCTTAACCTGCTTTGGTCATTTCTTTAGATTTTTTGAAGAAAAATATGGACAGAAGTTCTCTTCTTCAACAGAAAATAATTTCAATT